AGAGAATAATAGGCAGAATGCGAGAGTTAACGAATTGTATGAGGAAGGATTGGTTTATACCAGAATGTTTTAACTTCTTGATGTAGAAGGTAAGACGGTATATGTTCTTGGAAATCGTCAAGATATGAGACGACCAGGAAAGATCAGAAGATAGAGTGACGCCTAGGTATTTAATTTCCGACTTGGTTTCAATTTCAGTGCCATCTATGTTGCACATCTCGTGAGTGCTAACCAGTTTGTTTAGGTCAGATTTATGCCTAAAGGTGAAATTAACTGTTTGGCATTTGGAGGGGTTTAAGGTGAGACCGTTTTCCTTGGACCATTGGCTAATTACTGATAAGAAGCCATTTAGTTTAGAGCAGTCACTTTGACATTTGACAGGTAAAGATACAGTTAGGTCATCAGCATATTTGACAAAGTTAATGTCATTAACTTTTTTCTCTCCTTCGTATTGTGTCTGTTTGTCTTCCTTTTCACGTCTCCAATGTTTCTCCACAACACTGAATCATTTGCTCTCTGTCTCTCTCTTTCTCCAGCATGAAATAATGTATCTCCCTGTGATTTGATTTTCTTCTATGTGACGATGAACGTCTCTGTCTCTTTCTCTCCAGATATATACTGCTGATAAATGTTCTCAGTAGCATTCACCACACACTATTAGCCTATAGTAGAGTGACAATTGGGGGAGATAATGACAGTGTGAATGTTTATTGGCTTAAATGCATGGTGGTATTATTCTAGAGACTTGGCGCCGCGTCATAAAGAGCACCTCAAACAAACTACAGACCTTCACTAACAGCTGTCTTCGCTCAATACTCAAGATCAGATGGCCGGCCCGAAAAGATCAGCAATAATGAGGGATCTGTTGCAACGAGCGAACCAACCCAGCAGGAACCGATTGTGCAAGAAATGGAGGTGAATTGGCTATACTCTGAGAAAACAAACCATGAAGTGACATCACTAGACAAGCCATTGCTCGAGTAGAACCCTGAAAAGAAGCGGTTAGTTGGTCGTCAGTGGGAGGGTGACTTGGAGGAGGTCATGTGAAGAGGAGAGTATGTGGGCAGACTTGGAGCCAGATGAAAACTCTAGCAGAGAACCGAACGCAATGGAGACGTGTGGCTGAAGTTCTATGTTCCTCTAGGTATTATAGGAAATAATATAATAATTATTCTAGTGCATAATATGTGTATAATAAGAAACCACTCATGGGTCAAACAGTAATGCTGGCTAGCTAGACGGAGGTGATCTGAACACTCAAGTGCTGTTGCTTTGGTTTTTTTGTTGGTGCGGGGGGTTGGTTGATATTTTCGGTGGTTTATTAAACTTGAAGTCAGATTGGAGTGTTTAGTCATCAGTTCAAAACATCACAATTCCAACCAGGTGGATGCAATAATGTCGCAGAAACTCGAAGACTTACAGGTGAAAACCAAAAAGTTGACAGAAGACGCTAATAGGAATAAGAAGAGTTCACGTGAACATTGGGGGGGGGGACGTGTTGAACATAACCAACCAACCGACAGTAACAACAACAACTAGCACCAGTCACTATTAATGAAATAAATTTTTCAATAGGTCACTTTTTGCACTTACCTAAAAAGTATCATCGCAACTGCAGGTGATGAGAACAGCACGGATGAGGACGTCAAAATCAGTTAGGATTGGAAAGGCAGTGTAAACCTTCATCACTGTGAAATCATTTTGAAAATCTCCTGCACCACACTCAGCATACACAACAAAATTCAGGTCAGAAACATGGAGAACACTTCACGAAAAAGCATTTCCAACTGCCTGCTGCTGTCTTTTATCGACATCTGCCTTCTATGTCTCGATAGTGAAGAATAGTTGGGTAGCCAGAAAGGAGGATTGATTTGCAGCGAGAATCTTTGGCTTGGAACTAACTAACTAAGAACCTACCGCTCAATATATTCGGCGGAGAAAAGGGAAATAAATCTAGGATACATTGAGGAGACCATTGGATGATATCGCGCTCGCCAAGTCATTGTTCGGAAGGATAACGAAGATTTGAATGTGTGTTCTAGAATGGAACCGAGGATATCGAAGCTTACGCAATTGCTGAAGAGAGAGGATTCACGGGATTAAACAAGCTCATATTATCCGCTTAGTAAATATGTGATCGTTCTTTTCTTATTGAAAATAATTTCTTTTTAAATTAATTCGTCGCAAGGAGAAAACGAAGATTTGCATGTAGAGGAAAGTAACAAGTTGGCCAAAGAAGTAACGAAGGTAGAACGCATAGAGAGAAGTGATGTAGTTACGCCTAACCAACGTCAACAACAGGCAACACAATCACCATTAAGGCGGGGAGGGCGGGGAGTGGAATTTCAAAGCAAGTTACTTCCTTCATTTACCTGAGCTGAGTACCATCGTCTCACTCCTAGAGACAGAGGAACAGATGACGATATAAGTAAAAATACTTGAGCACGGCGGTAGAGTGTAACTCCGTTATGGACGAAATTTTACTTTGTTAAATCACACAGTGTTGTTATATGGTAATATTTACTGATGACCACGTTTCGGGCACAAATTGTTGCTGCTCGTTATCATATCACATACAACTTTCTTGCTTCATTTATACACATGAATAAAACTGAATAGACATTTCAATAAGATCAATATAATAATATAAAGTACATTCAGAAATAATTATATGAGTGGTTTTACGAGTTTGACTATGGATAAATATTAGTTAGATAACCATTGGAAACCAGCTAAAGGGAGTACTGGACAGGTGTTTCATCAACCTAGTTTGGGAATCATCGTTGGTACGCACCCACCACAGGGGGGGTTCGAACTCAGGACCTTTCGGTTAGGGCCATTGAGTCGGGTTCCAGTGGCTGAATGGTACACAAGCTGACTTGTCTTGTAACCGAAAGGTCCTGGATTCAAACTCGCTGTGGTGGGTGTGTCTGTCTGTCTGTTTCCGACATAGAACTTTGCACAAATGTGCGGAAGTTCAAGTCGCCACACTTCGTCTAGCACGCGAAGCAAGAGAAGAAAGTACAAGAAAAGCATAATAGAAACAGTGAGCAGAGGTGTGAGACAAAGGAGTAATAAAGAAAAACAAAACAGTTTCACTGGAGATCATAAGTCACAGGAAGTGGATGCATCTGCGCCACTGAGAACGATTTTGATCCATGTCACCAATTGTTTCCAACCATAGATTTTTACCGTTCCGAGGACCCCAGCCTGGAAGTCTACACCTTCCTACGTGGCTTAGACCAACTGTTGTGGATTTCATTGACTGGTGAAGGCATGTTTTTGTTTGACCGCCGCTAGCTTTTTTCCAGCCTGACCCTATATCCGCTAACATTGCTCGTCGAGGGGGGCGATGGCTTGGCATACGTAACACATATCCTAACCATCTCATTCTTGATCAAAGACAGCTAGTATTTTCATGTCTTCCACTCTGAGTGGCCAGGTCTCACTTGCAGCCATAAAGGAGGATGGGCGGACTGATGAGCAGTACACCCGCCCTTTGGTCGATAGGCGGGTGCGTACTACCGATGATTCCCAAAACTAGGCTGACGGAACAGCTGTCCAATACTCCCTGTGACTGGTTTTCTAACTAATATCTATCCATAGTCAAACTCGTAAAATCCTATTTAATCCTTATAAACCAGCTCTTGAAAATATTAGTGTTATCAATGAAATACACTCAGACGGTAAATAAGATACTTTTTACAGTAAAAAATAACTACGTCGTTAGAATGTGACCTGAACACATTTTAACATTATTTATTATCCTCCTCTGATTTGACTAGTGGTAATAATATCTTAGAACAAGCGAATAATATTGTTTTCAATTAGATCTTCCTCAGGATTTACTCTAATTTACATCAACTTATATATATATATATATGTAAAATTTTAACCAATGTCGGTGATTTTGTGGATCAAATAATAATAATGTGGTAAATATTTTGAACGTCAGTAATAACGATGATTATAATGATAACACAGGTAGTATATGTATATATGTGTATATACAGACAATTCAATAAATAAATTAGGTTAAATCTTAAAAGTTACGTAATACTAAAGGTGAAGTGGACAGATAATCAGAGTTTAAATAAATACCATAAAAATACGAAGGAGATGGAAAATGAGAAAGGGTGAGAGGGTTTTGAATAGAATTCACCTAGGCAAGCAACGGAGAGACAAAGGTAGAACAATCTTCTTTTGTATGCAAAGACTAGGATTGTTCTCTCGAATTCCCATAGCTTCTTCGGCTAAGTGTAAAAGACGCGTTCTGATTCTGTTCGAAAGATCGATGGAATGCGATAGATAACTTTGAAGGCACTACTTCTTCTGTCCACTTAGTGACCGCTATCATCAATCAAATGAGCCAAAATAGAACTTCTTATAGATTTTATTTGACCTCTACCGAACCATGAAGGAAGATGCTCATTAGTGCGTTTATTAAGCTGTCTAGTTGTTCGCCCTATATAAACAGCTTTCTCCACAGGAGCAACTAAATTTTTATGAATACACATAGAAGTGGCACAACCAGGCAAACTGGTCTTTCACTTGAAGAATTATAATATTGATCGGCTGGAAAATGAGAAACAAAGGGTGGTGATGGCAGTATAAGTCCGTTTTATTGGCTCTCGACAATCTCTGATGTAAGACTTCGCTAGCCATGTCCCCATTGAATTGCAATTTCATGAACAGTTGTCAGTTTCTCCTTATTGTACCTGGTGTATTCATGTGTCTCCTTAGAAATCTACTGGGATAACCTATTTGGACCAGTGTATTTTGGATGTATCCTAACTCATTTTGTAGGGAGTCATCTGTACAGATACGTCTGTAGAGATGATCGAAAATTTGAAAAAAAAGAACAGAAATTGTTTGAGCAGATTATCCTCTGTCTGGATTCAACATAGAACTTATCCCAATTGTCTATGAATCGTTTTCTTTTTTTTGTAATACTCATCCTGTTTTATTGTTGTTTGTTTTCTTCATTGTGTCATTTTTAGGCATGGACTATTCGCGCGGTAATGGAATAATAATAATAATAAGCGAGAGCTTTTTTTCTATTCTCAGTTTTCTTTTCTGGATTTATGGAACAGTTCACTGTCCTGCTTCGCCCCACTCCACCTTGAAGTATTTTTTTGAAGAAAAAAATGAACCCCTCACGACCTCTAAATTTGTTCAGAATTTTTGTATATTTTTCCATTTTTTAAACAGTATCCTTCATCGCTCTGCTCTGTGCTCCCACACCCGTGCACTCGCTCGAATTGTCTTCGATGTCTCTCTGTATACACGCTTTGTTTTTTTGGTTGTTTCCAATTTTTCATATATATTACTTGTAAATCAAAACAAACAAAAGACAAGAAAAAATTGGCTGTGATATTCTCAGTTGGCATGCATGCATGCACTCACTCGCTTACACACACACAGACACACATACATAGGAACAGTGTCAAAAATTGCTATACTGATTCCTACTCCTCCTTCTACTACCACTACTACTATTATCGCCTTAAATACGCATCAAGTGAACTCACTGGACACCTGTGTGTTGTAATCTGTGAAGAAAGATAAACCGGCCATCCACCCCGCGTCACCACCATCTGTGTGGAGGACTTTCTTTCTTTCTTTGCATCCTCTCTCACTCTGTTATTTTTTCAATCATTATTTTCATTTTCATTTCTGTTTTTGAGAAAAAATTCAATATTATAATTTAACAGATTCTTTTGTCTTTAATGTTGTGCAAGAATGAACAGTTGCAACTTTACGAAGCTTTCAGTATGCTGATATTATCATTATTATTATTATTATCACTATGTGATACATATATACATATATATATATATATGTTGTGAGTTTCTTTATAAATAAATTCTGTATGAAAAATAAGAGAGTGTTGTTAATGGATCCAGAGATCATCATGGATTGTGTTGTTTTATATTTTACGGTTATATATAAACATTATTATTATTCCCTTGCGTTCCGAGCCTGGCTTCAACATCACATATTCACTTTGTTTGTATTTTCTACCGTCCTCTTCATCTAGGTTCACGATTGATTAGCACTGACGGTGGCCCACTCGTCGCTTCCCATTGGAATTCCAGTTGAACAATAGCCTGGTGTACAATGTCGTTCAGTGACTTGTTTTGAAGTATGCCTATTCAATCTCCAATTTCTTCTACATATTTTTCTGAGCAATCTACTCTTGGCGGCCTTGTGACATGCTGTATTGTAGAGTTCATTGTTACTGATAATTTCCTCCCCCGGCCATCTAATCTTCACTATGAAGAGAGAGCCAGTCAGTGAAGTTGGCAGCTGTTGATGAAAAATCTGAAGTGACCTGTTGGAAATCGTTTACTTGATACGCTAGCCAAGTTTCTGACCCGTATAGAAGAACTGAGCACCTTCATATTGTTGCTGAAAATGCAAATCTTGTTACCTATGCAGAGTGGAGAAGATTTCCAAACTGGTTTCAGGTTGATGAAGGCGTATCTTGCCTTGCCTTTCCGATTCTGACTTTAACATCTTCGTCCATGCCATCCACCTATAGTTGAGAGAGTGCATCCTAGACAGATAAGTGAAGGAGGCGGCAGCCTTTGTTAAATCCCTCCTGTTGATGGTGATTGGTGTTGGTTGTTGTTGTTGTTGATGTTGCTACTGGTTGGTTATCTTCATCACCCCTCTGTCTTCTCTGTATTTACCTGCAGTCCTGTTTTGCGTTGCTTCTCAGTCTATTCAGCCATTTTATTGGTTTTCACCCGCCTGTAAGTCTTCGAGTTTGTGTGACATTAGATATATACACATATATCATCTGCGAAATCCAGACCCTCTAGAGTCTCCACCGTATTCTTGACTCTTCGCCCCCCCAACAGTCTTCCTCATAATCCAGTCCACCGAGAACTAAGAATGTCATCGGTGATAATAGGCACTTCGAACGCCTCGCTGAGTTTTCCACTGTGAATCACTTGACATGTAGCATTGTCATATAAAAAACTGTTGAATGAAATTGACAAAGCATTTGAGGTACACCATAGTTTTGAAGTAATTTCCAAATTACTTCTCGGTCTACGCTGTCGAAGTCCTTCAAGAAGTCGAACATATAAGTGTAGAAGATCTGGATTTGGCATGTAAATAATTTATGTCTAATGTCACACACAAACTCGAGAACTTATAGGCGAAAAGCAGAAAAATAGCTGAAGAGGCTAGCAGACAGCGAAGACAGGAATCACTCCAGGTGAACACAAAAAAGACGGAGGTGATGAAGACAACAAACCCTGAGCGCAACAATAACAACTAGCACCACTCCATCATTAACGCCTCCAAAGCCTCAGGATGGTCGGGGGTGGGTGTCTTGCGCTGCGGGTTGGCCATTCCTCCGTACACCTCTTGAAATGCTCCCATATGACCGGGCGTCTTAAATAACCTCTCCTGAGGAAGTCCTACTCACTGCCTTCACGTGGCGGAGGTGTTTTTCACCAAAGTGAGAGGGCAAAAGCGGATGCCCGGCGCCCTTCACCGGGTTGACTGTCCATTGGATGACAGTCTAGGGGAGATGGCTAAACCCTGATTCCAAACCTCCAACGACTGGCGTATGAAGCTCACCGGCAGACGTATGGACAAAGGGCTTATTGGATGCCCTGGATGACTGGCCCTATTCAAAAAGGCGAATGAACCGGACTCCGGTCACCGGCTGGCTTCCAATGCATAGTGGACTCCCTACTGCCTTGTAGGTCACACTTGGTTGTGTAAAGGCTAGAGCTGCACTCTCAAACAAAGGCTGAGCGATTCTGGGGACATCACTCGTACCCAATTCCCATGAAACCTCATGGTTCATGAAGCCGGCTCATCCTCCCGTAGGAGATAGCCGAAGTAAAGTAAGTAAGTACTCCATCATTAACGGGAGAGATTTAACAGAGGTTATTTCCTTTACTACAGACGCGCGTGGGCGGATGAAAATGTCAAAGTCAGCCGGCCAGCCAGAATCTGAAAGGCAAGTCAAGACACACACCCTCATCAACATGAAACCAGTTTGGAAATCTTTTACTCTTAGCATAAGGAACAAGGAGGTTAGGATTTTCAACACCAATGTCAAGTCGGTCAGTTCTTCTCTGAGGGTTAGAAACTTGACTAGCGTGTCACGAAAACGATCTCCAACAGGTCACTGGAGGCTTTCATCAACAGCCAGCATCTTCCCTGGCTGTATTCTGGAGATGAAATTGCCTACTAGAAAAAATTAGTAACAAAAATGTGGATGGATCGGCATAGATTGAGGAGACCGTCGAATGACATCGTACACCACGAGGCCATTGCTCGAGTGGAATTCAAATGAGAAGCGACGAGTGGGTCGACCTAGGGTTTATATAGTGGAGGTCGTGTGAGGAAGAGATGAGAGAGTTTAGGCGGTCGTGTGGTTGGCCAACTGAAGAGGATAGCAGAAATTGGAAAAATTCGAAGATGCTCTGTTGAAATCGTATTTTCCACCTGGAACCCAAGGGAATACTAATATAAGTCTAGCCAGGTAATTGATTGGATTATTTAGACGAAGATAAACAATGACCCGGAAAGTTTTGTGTGTGTGTGTGTGTGTATTTAGCCATGGCTGAGTGTGTTGCCAGTTATTACCTCCCCTTCTTGTTCATACTCTGAGAGCTGATTTCTTTTTTTTCTTTCACCACCTGAAAACGGTATTACGTGACAGTAGAGGCCAAGGAAGAACTACTTGAATTCGGTCACCCACCCACACACACACACACAATCTGTTTGAGGTGGTTTATGGAGTTCTTCTCGTATTCGAACTTACCTCTTTATTATGTACTCGTCGCCAAATTATTGTTATGTACTGGTCGAGGATTTAATAGTCCTGACGCAAGAAAGACGGAAATCAGATGACCACTAGGTTTGCGATGATACTTCTATTTTCCAAACACAAGGAGAATCAATATGTCACATAAGTGTGTGAGAGCAAAATATATGTGAATGTCCGAAAGTGTGTGAACACAAGTGTGTGAGCGAATATTCAAAATGAACAAATCAATAGACGGTCTTAACATGATTGGCTAATTATAATGGAATATCGACCCATATATACATAGCAAAATATATCAGACTGTCAAACAAAACACACATATTATATGGATATATATATCACACTTCTTTACATAGCGCTGTACATTAAGTCACAATGTGTAAGTTCTTGGTGTTAAGCAAAACTTGGTCCCGTTCCCCGAAACGCAGAGGCAATGGAACTGAGAGAAACGCCTCACTGCTGTTACAACATTTCCGATCGCTAGCGGTACCAATTCTCCCTAATCAAACAATGTTCCTGGCACAGTAGAACCTGCAGGAATATCAGTTCCAACCAGTGTAACTCACTAGGTCCTCGAGATTTGCAAGCCAGACAACTCACTCAAGGTTAGCAGCCATCGGTTAGAGGATTATTCTTTAGGAAGATGTCATCGTCCACAGAATCCTTCAGACTGTGACTTTTCCTTGTTATTGACTTTTTAAAATAGTCATTTTATACAATCGGTGGATGGTGGCTAGCAGTAGAATCCAGCAACTGTATGCTAATTAAATACCCTGACATCGTCGAAGCATCTGCACAAGAAGCCGACATGTCCACCTGGGACCGAGCACTTTGGTCCAATCAACCGACGGGAAAATCAAAAATTCAATTCAGTAGAATCATTTTAATTCAGAAGTGAAGTAGATACTACTGAATAATTGGAAATGACACACATTCACTAATAGTTCGATACCAGATAAATTTATTCAATATAACACAGTGGTAGTATATGAATGACGTTTTGAGCACAATTCACTGTTCATAATCATCACATCAGTGGTAACGTCGACAACATTGAAACTTGGTTTGTTTTTATAGTTCTCTGGTGTAAGGTGTGGTGGCCGGAAAATATCAAATTATACGTTCACCGTAAAAAACAGTAAAAATAATGAATTCACATAAAAATCATAGTTGTTACGTGATATATTGAACAAGGAGACTACCTAGTTCCGCGCTCAACATGGACGACAC